TCTTTCCTAACTCCTTTGCTTACCTTAGCACTGTGCATTTATGCACATCCCTTCAGCAATTACCTTCTCACTAAAAAAACTATTCAATTGAGCATCACAAGTGTGTACCACTCGCATGGACACCCACAAGGCTGCTCAGCGTCCAAGCGAAGCCTGCTGGCTTTCTTGCCATATGTGTCTGTGTCATGATGTTCCACACTGGAGGCTCCAGCTCATGCAAACAAACCAGTGGCACGGGCTTGCTGCTGATAGATAGACTGGAGGTCAAGTTAGGATTTACACAGTGATTTTGGTACAGTTTTATTTGCTAGAGGGTATCAAAGCATTGCAGTCTTCTGGATAGATTGAGTAATATCCTAATCCAAAATGGGCTGGCAATGTCAGCCACAAAATGGTGCTGATACGTTGTTCCAGACTGCTTCAGAAGACTGCGCCAGAGCAGGACCATGCTGAATTAAAAGCATAATCCAGCTAGCCTCAACCCATGTCTTCAGTGACCACCCTGTAGGTGCTTCAGGGCCCAGTTCCTGAAGTACAGCCATACCTGCACACAAGTGCAGCACAGGGCAAGCACCCTCCCTCCTGCAAGAGGCAGCCTTGGATGCTCCTGCCCACCTGCCACCCAGCTACAGGTCAGCAAGTCCAACATCTGGTACAGCATTTTCCATTCAGGAGGGACATCCTGGTTTTGCAGAACATGGTCCCCAGGGTGCAACCTGTGATGAGCCAGCTCTTCGGCTGGGTGCCTCCATGGCAAAGGTGAGCTCCATCAGAGCCGTCTGCCTGCAGATATTCTCCTTGGACTGGATGGAGCTGAAGGGTGCAGGGGCCCAAAGCAAAGTGGGAATAAAAGACGTTGCAGGAGCGACTTCAGGCCTGAGAGAGAAGTAACCAAGGCACTGACAACTTGTGTGGGTTTCGTATGTCTGTTTGCAGTGCTATGTTATGTGTTTAGAAGCTGGTTGTTTCCATAATAACAGCAAGCGCCATATGGCAGCGAGGAGGGTGGTGAGAGGAATGCTCAAGGAAACACAGTATGTTGTTTGACATGTGTGTGCTTCTAGAGGAATAACGTGTCTCGAGCAAGTCCTGCTGCTCCAAACGGGCTGGGGGATTTGCTGCTCTCACCAGAAAAATATCCAAAGCCGTCGGCATTTGTACTGGTGCAATGCCAGTTAATGATGCCTGCCCTTCTCCCATGTTTTCCTGCAGATAGTCCCAGGGATGGGTAAAGGAACTTTTGCTTTACTGGGAGTGATGGTTCTGGATGCACCAGCACAGGGGAATGGCATTTAAACATGGTGTTCATGAGGAAATACAGTTCTGTAAAGGAGTGCTGTGTGAAGCTGAAACCTGCTAGATGCCATATGCTCCATCCATTCATTAATGCTCAGCAAGTAAATAGCAGAAATTTGGAAACCTTTGAAAATACATAGTTCGCAATAATTGTTAAGTAGAGAGTTGGTTGAGCATTTCCAGAGATTAGGGGCATTTTAGTGCATATCTAGGAAGCATCCAGGAAGGTCTCCCCAAATTCCAGCTTTTCCTACCCTTTAATGTATGACTCACATTTCAAGGACTTGTAATTTGCTCCCCACAATCCCACAAAACACCACCAGTCTGAGCAGTACCTTTGCAGCGTGCATATATTTCCACCACAGAAAAATATGAAATTATTTTTTCATAATAGCTGAATGGCTTTTGTGGGATTTTTACTAACATCAGCTCTATAAAATTGCGCCTCTCTTGTTTGAGTCTTAAAGCCATTAATTGTATTTGTATTTGGGTACCTAAAAAGTGATGGCAGGGAGAAGGTCACAATTCTGATTTGGCATTGTAGTTCTGGACTCACTTACAATGCTTTAAACTCCTAACCAACCCAAAAGGCAAGGCTCTTCTCATTTTCATTTTTCTCTTCTTCTCTTTATTGCCTCTAGAGAGAGATTACTGCAGCATATGTGAAAAGCAGCCGATCGGAAGGCTTCTCTTTCGGCAGTTCTGTGAAACTCGACCCGAGCTTGAGTGCTGCATTAGATTCCTTAACTCGGTGGTAAGTCAATTCTTGTGATATTTTGGGGTGCTTCACAGTGCTCTCCTGATGGAGGAGACTCCCCTGACCCCAAGAAATCACTTTCATGGGACGTGATTTTTTGTCTAATACATCTGAACAAGCAGCAGACAGGGCTGACCCCGCCAGCATCCCAGCATCATTGGCAGTAGAGGGGCAGCGCTGCACACGGGGTTGGTACCAGCCTCGGGGAGCGCGAGCCACCGGAGTGGGAGAAAGACAGGCACCCCGGCACAGTGCTGCATAGCCACCCTTCATGTCAACAGCCAAGCAGCTGAGCTGCTGTGAGTAATGTCTTTTGATGTGGCTGAAGCCTGTAGTGCTGGAAGGCACTGGGAGGAAAGGGAAAATGATGAATGGACTGACAAGAGAGGATGAGGAGTATGATAATACTAATGTCTCTTACCAAGCCTTTTCCTCGCTAAACTTCAGGGTGATTTACAAAGGACATCCTGATTGTTATCCTGTTTTTTCAAATAGGAAAACAGGCACAAGGTATAGAAGTGACTTGGTTGAGGTCACTGAGAAACAAATCTGTTCCATTTTCCACCCCAATGAGCTACCCAGCCACTGAGCAACACCCCGCAGCCCCAAGGGACCTGGCACTATTTCCCAGTCTGGCAGCACTTGGCCGTATGTAGTGCCAGCAGGAGAAGCTCTTTACAGTGGCAAAGTCTCTCAGTGGCCTTCTTGCTGGGAGCCTGCAGATAGGTAGAGTGTTGATGAGCCAAAAGGCTAAATTGTACCAGAGAGGAGAGGAAGATGAACTTGTCACTGCTGAGTGTGAGTGTCCAGGGGCTTCGCCCTCTGGCTAGCACTGACAATCAAAAGCAAAAAACGATGAATACCGACAGGAAGAATATTTTTTTGTTTATACCGTGGTGAAGCTATTCTAAAGTATAGGGAGATGTGAGGACTGCACTGAAGTTGCAAAAGTAGGAGTCTGGGAGAGGACATATGGTCACTTGAAGTTTATGTTAGTACTGCAGTGTCTACAGCCAACCCAAAGCATCACAGAAAGTGTTGGATAAAGCTTCTATCTGATATTCCTAGCACTGTTCATGATTTTCCCCTGTGAAAGGTTTAGCCATTGAGGTACATGAAACCACTACATCTGACAAATGCTCTGTGCAGCTGTGCTCAATGCTGGTAGGCAGGAGGACATTTTGGGTACTTTGGATGTGTTTGTCCTGCACCGAACTGGCATCATCTAGTGAGGTGTCTGCCATTGATGGAACACCACGCACCCACTGGGGGAGGCATTCCCGCAGAAATGCCACAAAAGGTGTGACACCCACAGCCCCGAGGAGACAGGCGATAGCTGTCCCTCTAGGAAGCCACAGAAATCCTTTGGGAGACAGCCACAAAAGACTGCTTTCAAGTGGCTTTAACTTCAGACAGAAGAGGCAGAGCCATCCTCAGTTTGGAGAGGGCTAGCAAGGGTCTGTTATTTTCTCACACCTCTGTGGCGTGGCAGGCGTCATATTTTGGTTCCAGCAGCGCCCAGGGGCTGTGGAGAACAAGCCCACATTGTGCAAGCCCTGCACACATCTGGCAGCAGGCGCTCAGGGCGTACAGGTTAAGCTGACAGTGCTAATAACATCTGGGCACAAGGAAACATTACTGTCCCCCACATGTGTCCCTCCAGTGCCACCAGAGCACTGGGTGATAACCTTCGCTGCAGCCCTGCCCGGAGCCTCTCTCAGCCTCTCCCAGCAGCACTGGCTGCCCAGCACATCTCCAGCTGTGGGAATTGAGGGGACTGTGTCACTTCTGTTCTCCGAAGCCCTGCAGAGGCTTGCCAAGCACTGAAACTCCATGTCCTCCCAGCATCCATGCAGCACAGGTGACACTGGTCCGCGAAAGCTTGTGGTGGGACTGGCTTTGTTTTAAAGCTCCCTCTCTGAGCAATCCCGGGCTGATATCCCCAAATCCTTTTGCGAGGGTGTGCTTTGCACACACACACCCTGGTTGCTTTTGCAGCCTGGAGCTGCCCTGCATACCTTTACTGGCCCAGTGTTCTGTTCCTGGTTGCGATCAGACTGGCAGTATGAGGATTTCACAAACAAAATGCCTGCATATGTCTGCATATTTACTCTTTCTCTCTTCTTTTTAACGCTAATTAACAGCAGTCTCTTTTGTTTATTGAGTTCAAATTCTGTACAAGCTTGCTCCAGGACCATGAAAAATCCCTGTATTAGGCAATATTAAGGTTGAGCAACACAGCCCGTAGCCATTAAATTGGATGATTGCTACTGAAATTCACCCAGCTGGGTCACACTATGTTGAGTGAGTAGTTGGATTCAGGCCAAGTCCTGTCTTAGGCAAAAAAGTCCTATAATGAGACCAGGATTTTGACTTTACAGCCCTATTCTGAGACCACCAGGAATGTGAGACCTTTTGGAGACCACCTGCTGTAACAAGCCCCAAGCAGAAAAAGCCAAGAGCCTTCATTTTCTTTTGACTTAGTTATTTTTCTAACAGGAGATGCAAAACTTAGCTTTTGTGTAATATCAAATAAAAAGAAAAAAATAATAGAGGAAAATATTTAGCTGTCCATGAGAGGCTCACTGAGGTTTTTGCGCATTGAGAGGTAGGACCACCTCTCTTTTACAGAGCGCAGCTAAGTGACTTTACCAGGTCACACAGTAAGTCATTGGAAGAAGCCAGTAATTGATGCCTCCCAATTTTTAATACAGTGTTTTACCTAGTGCACTCAACTGCCTGCAAAGAAAGCAGCGATGGGGGCTCCTGGGAGGAAACCAGAGGCTGAGTCAGACACTCAACAACCTACCAACAACCTCCATGCACGTACTTATGTGAGACTACCTGTTGTGAGATCTCTCTCACACCTTTGCCTCCAAAGACTGGTGAAATCAACCAGACCTTGCAGACCAGAATACATAAAGAGAAAAAAAAATCCCCTCTTTGCTGGACATTTATTTCAGCTGTTGGGTGAAATAGCTAAGCTGGTCTGATGTAGTCTCCTGCAAATCTAATTATAGCAGCATCTGGGTTTTTTTGTCTGTAGAGTTAAACAGTCGTTAGGCTGCTTTCTGAAGAAAAAAGGATCTGTATCATTAAATTCTGCATGCATGTAAGTGTGTATTTGTCAGTTCCCTCTCAAACCTGTGAATACCTTGACCAATTTAAACTAGTAATTGAGATTAAAGTGCTCAGAGGCATAAAGTTTCTACATGTTTTCTGAGAACAGTGTTTGGCTAATTAGCCACAATCTACCAATTGTAAAATGGACTACAAAGATATGTTGTTTGTGAGCAGTAGGCCCCAACATTAAATGATAAAAGCCATAAAAATGAAGAGATGCAGAGATTTGCAGTGCAGCCCTGCTGGAGCTGTGGGTGTTTGGTTCCCACCACTGCTGTGGGACCAGTAAGTGGCCATCAGTGTGGCTGGCTGGCTGGGAAATGGGGCAACAGCAAGCCCTTCTCCTAGGTGATACAGTAAGGCTATAAGGAGAGCCATCTCTTAGTATGGATATTATGCAAACAATTTCATGACAAGGGTCCTGATTTGACTAGATAAAATATCTTGTAAGAAGTACCGATGGCTGCAACTTGTGCCTCGGAATGCATTGTGTGCTTATCTGTGTGCATGTCAACACAAAGATCTCCCATGAATAGTTCACCTAACCCTGATGTAGCCATTCAGATGAAGGAACTATGTGAACATAAACTATTATCATTAAAGGGAGATAGATAGTTTAAGACAAAATCAGCCCCCCTATAAGCCCTTAACAAAGAAAGCATGCTTTGCTGTGCTTACAAATATTTTAGCAACATCATACAACTTGCGAGCTGTTGAAAGACAGCCATTACAATAAAGTGTTAGGGGATACATTTCCTGTGCTGAAAGGCTTGCTAGCAAGGAATCTGCTAGCAAGACGCGTTTCCTTCCCCACAGCCCGTGCCTCCAGCACAGGAAAGCAGCAGTTCAGTTCTTGTCCCTGTCCCCTTCTCAACAGCACATTCCCCAGGTACCAGCTCCTGATGTTTCCCTCTCCTCTCCTGTGATTTTTGTGTGCTGTTATAATGAAGACTTTAGCTTCTGGACTCCCTTTCCTGCTTTGTCTACTTACATTCATAAGTCTTTAATTTTTTTTTTCCAGGGGAGGGCTGTTAACATTTTAATGTGGTCCAGATTTACACTGACTAGAGGAGAATGTGGCTAATTCTGGTCAAAGAGAAAAGAACCTGATATTATTTTCTCTCTAACCTGTACGATATTATTCTTTGCACTGAAGTCGCACAAAAATACATCCTCTGGAGGAAAATAGCCCCGCTGCCTCTCCAGGTTGTTTCTGCTTGTGCTATTCAGGCACGGGAGGCTGAGAGTGAAAGGCACAGTCCTCTCAGGTGGACTTTTCAGCTGAATGCTTCACTAGACATTACACTTATCTGGGGTAGAACGATGAGCGAGCATCCATTTAATGCCATTTGTAAAAACCCTGTCTCGCTGTTAGGGAGATTTCGTTTGGTTAAGTCCCTTACATGGTATATAAACCATCTGTGTATTTGTGTCTTAAAGCTGTTCAAGGCTTTTTCCATCAGAAATGCCAGTTTGTTGATATCAACAAACTCATTAACTCAAAATGTGTTTTTAAACAGTCAAAAGGGCTCTTTTTGCCCTGTGTTTAAATAAGAAAAATGTGGTTTCAAGTTCACTTTTCATTTAGAAATGCGACTTATTATGAATCCCAGCTGTTTGGGTTTTGCCTTCCAGTTTTCAGTCACAGATTTTAAATCTCCAGCAGAGGCAAGTGCCCGGGCAGTCACTGGAGCACAGAGCAATAACAGGGCAGAGCCTGGAGTCTGAGGAAGGAGTGAGCAGGAGCTGGAGCAGAGAGAGTTGCTGGGCATAACAGAGGAGGTAGCTGAGAAAGCAGAGGTGTAAAACTGGGACCAAAATGCCACTACCCTCCTGCAGATGCTCAGAAGGTGACACACGCTCCTGACTTATACCAAGAAGCTGAAAACACTCTGGTGAGAGTGTCTGTTCCCATCTCCATCTTCTGATGGGTGTGAGGGACCGACTCCTGTGGCCACGCCACAATCCCACAGACAACCAGAAGCTACCTGCCAGGAAGAGAGTCCTCCCAGATCTGCAGAGAGATCCCTTTGGCTCCGTTTTTCCATTTGCACGTATTTTTAAGCCATGGAGTTTCAGGAGCTCAAAGAAAATCAAACACTAGATAAAACAATGTGTCAGAATTAAGGTTGCTGATGCGAGCCCCTGCTGGCTGCCTGCGCCGTTGCCCTGGCAATGTTCTCCATCGGTCACAGGCACCCTCCAGCCCCCGAACTTCTGGCTCAGCTGTCCCTGAGCCCACAGCCCTGTCCCACAGCCAGCTGTGGCTGGACATTATTCCCTTTCCCAATTAAAGTGCATTTTCCCATCTGATCTCACTCAGCCCATCCCAAGGGCAGCTGCTCCGAAGGGAAGGACGCTTCGCACCCCATGCCCCATTCAGCCAGGGTTGCTTCTAGGGAAGCAGGAGCCACCAAAGTAACTAATACCTCCAAAACAGCAGCCAAAAAAAAAAGTTAACAACAAACAGCAGCCAGCCCACATCCTCTTGCCATTTGGACTGAAGGATCAGCGCCTGCCCACAGAAAGAGCGTTCCCTGCAGCTTGTCCCATGCAGTCAGGGTGATCATAAATCCTCCCCTCATTTATGAGCTATGAATAGGGCCCTGTCTGACCTAACTAGGGCATGGAGAAGCTATTAGACTTCAGAGCAGGAGCCTTGAAACATGCCTGGATTCATCAAAGGAATAATGGAAAATATTTTGTTCCACATGGATTTTAAGTAATGATGTTATTTCTAGCAATTAGGGATTTGCAAACTGTAGCTGTGCTTTTGAGTGTTGTGGAAGAAGGGGATGTATCTTGTGATTTAAGCACAAGATTGAGAATTGAGGGCCTTGGTATGCTTCCCAGGCATGCAGCAGAGTGAGCATGGGGATGTCACTCTGCCTCTCTCCATGGATAATTCTTCCTGCAGTAGCAGTCCGTGGCTGAAAATGTGCCAGTATCTGTTGCTGAATAGCTCAAAAGTGGCACTGAAGGGAGAAAAAATAATGAACTTAGAAACAAAATTAAATGGGCTTCTACTACTTGAACTACAGTGAAATCAATGCTGTTCACAGTTGGAGCTCATGGTTCTTCTCACATCCTTACTTGTCTGTCACTTCCTACCTTCACCACCACAGTGCTGCACTTTCTGAGGATGTCAAATGCAAGTATAATTAAACTTTCCTTTTATTCCTTCCCAACTATCTTGAGATAAAATTAGATACTCTGTGTGTGTGTGTGTGTGTGTGCGCGCGCACATTTAGCTCTGCATATGTTGGATCCCATCAAGAATTGCATTTCAAAACACTGATCCATTTCCTGCTAAACTTGTGTCTCCTTTTGCTTTGTCCTGATGGGATGTAAATGTAATAGGGTATCTGTGCTAAAAAGGATACAGATTTTTTTGACACCTAACTTGGTGTGCTTCAAATGGCAGATGATGACTTTGAATCAGGTTTTATTACTAGGATTCAGAGTGTAAAAGCAAAAGAAGGAGAGAGAAATGGTCATTATTGGATAAATTGTAAATAGCATTCAATGGAGGACTCAGAATACCTCCTAGATACCTCCATGCTAAGGCAATGCCAAGGAGTTCTCCCTTCTTTGCAATCTTCTGCACAGATAGTTACATTTCAATACAACTATTTTCTTTTATTAAAATACATTATTTCTGTTTTCTTTTATATGAAAAACACCTAGCTAACCATAAACTGTAAGAACCAAATAAGATACAATTTTCACCTTTAAAAAATTGTTCCTTCTGTTACTCTTGCCATCGCTTTATCCCCTAGCAAGGAATTATGGAGAAAAATGCTGTTAAAATTCTGTAGACATTTGAGAGTGTCTGTGCTTTAAGAGCTGAAATGACCCATACTCAGATACCATCTAAAAGAACAGGAAATTGGATGAAAGATATTTTTAAACCCTTGTATTAAATTTTATGAGAACTTACTTAATCAGTTCATCCCCAAAATGGTGACTAAGAGAGAAGTACTGCACTTGTCGATTTTAGCTTTCAGTGTATTTTTCATCAGCAATACAGGTTTCTCTGTTATTTGCGGTCATTGTCATTTCCCAAACCAAATCAGATAGTAGTTCTAGATTGTTCAAACAACCTGCTATGTATGTGTATAAAGATGTAGCTTCAGACTTAAGCTGCAATAGCGAAATCAGCACTGTCCAGATACATGGCTAATAGCATTATTGCTACATTATGGTTTTCATGTCATTCCTAGGTCTGCTTAGCTAGGGTATCCATTACAGCCTTCAGATTTATTGCATCAAGCTCGGAGCAGTTCATATGTCTTCCAGTGGGCAATAGTTCTGAAATTTGTTTGTCCAAGTGTTTGCCAGTTCAGTCTGATTTACCTTTTTTTTTTCTTTTAACTTCCTCCTCATTTATCATTTCAGACAGCTTGTATTGGACCAGGTTACTTAATTGGTTTGGCAGGACTTTCTGGGATCCTTTTTCGAATACAAGCAGTCATGAAAGTTGTTAGGCTGTCGTCTTCTTTTATTTTATTCTGGAAAATATTTTCATCCTAAGGCTAAAGCTGGGCAGTGCCAAGTGGGAATTTCTCTAAGAACTTGTCGTCATTTAGTCACTGGAGTCCCACGCAGCATGTGTTTCCTTCAAACGCCTCCCATGGATCCAAAATTCCATGGATTAATGTCTTTGTGGTGCACAAGTAATGCTTCCTTTGATTCTTACGTAAAAGTTGTCCTGAAACTCATCAAAAGTTGGTAATACTACAATACATCGGATAGTCAGAATTTTTAAATGTAGCTAAACTTTGTGTGGGGGAAGGTGGAGCTCTCTTTTTTAATGTACTGGGGAAGTCAAAGAGAATTTTGCCTACAGTTTCTATTCCTCTAAATGGTCACTCATGTTTTATCTTGGTCCTAAGACACGCACCTAAGAAATCGGCTCTTTAATCTGCCTTCTTGGAGGGACGGAGTCGCTAAAAGTGATGGGCAAATCTCTTTGCTTTGCAGGAGTGTTAGACCAAGGGGAAGTGTCAGACTAAGGGGAAGGACACATTTGACCAAAAAGACAATCTACTGAAGGAGTTCACCTGGTGCTTGAACTACCATTGTGGCAAGAATTAACAAACATTCACTTTCTCTGCTACTCAAAGAAATAATTTTACCTTCTGTGTCCATCTTCCCTTTGAGCAAAACCAAATAAAATTGCCATCTCTATTCACTGACTGCTTTCTGAAAGCTGGCTTGCAAGGCTATAAATTGTAAATGAATTACATTTTATTGGTGTTAATTAAAGACATAATCTCAGCACTAGGGTTTGGTCAAAATACAGTGGAAGATTTTTAACAGGATTGTGTGTATGGGTTTTACTTCCATCAGAAAATGGTATTTATCCTTCAGATTTTTCAGACAGAGCGTTCCATTAAGGCCACATCCAAAATGAAGTTATAATGGTGAAATATGAGCACAAATATTGACTTTTTTTTTTATATCTGTTCCAGGCAGAATATGAAATTGCTCCAGATGAAAAGCTGGGAGAGAAAGGAAAGGAAATCATGATGAAATACCTCACCCCAGAGGTAAAGTGACATTACTGAAGGAATGCTGCAAGGCACATCTTTGCTAAACAAGGTTGTTATAGGCTTTGTAAACCAGAGTCCTAAAATTTATGGTGGTCATCTCCAGTGAATACACCTGCAAGTCTTATACAAACAGTCAGAAAAAAAATTATAATCCAATCCAGCAATTGATTTCTAAGGATGAACTTGAGTTTAGCAGGGGCTTAATTCATCTGTGGATGAGCAGGGGGATTCTCTGGTCTCTCCTCAGTGTGCAAAGCTGTACATCGTGGTGTAATGCAAGAGACCTCAGCTACCAATAGTTGCCACAATTACTTCCTGTCCAGCTCAAAAGAGGTGGTGGCATTTCATATACTGTTGTGTAGAAAACGCCAGCAAAAACAGTCTTTGGTAACAGACACTGTATTTTGGTACAAAAATACCCCACCACTGTTTGCCCCAGGGTAGCCAGGGGCATGCAAGACGGACAGCGTGTAGCAGCTGTGTCCACAGGGTGGCATTCCAAACAGAACTCCAAAACTGCTTCGGGAATTTTGGACAGGCTGCACTGGGACTAACCCTTTTTTGAGGGGACTTTTGGTCACTTCCTGACCGCATTTAACCTCTGCAACAAAAGTCACTGCCAGTAAGCAATAAACATCCAACTTCAAACACAAGAACAATCCTAGGATTTTTCCTAAGTTGCTTTCATAAGAGTAATCAAGATGTACAATTGCTGCTTCCACTGTTTTACAAGTGAAATAAGTTTGACCTTCGGGAGAATTAATTTCATTTTTGGCAGATGTCTTTCTAAAGTGTTTAAATGGTACAATATGTTTTGAAGGTGCGGGAGCAGAGCAGACCACTTTTTTTCCAGTCAGTCATTTTCCTACAATAAATTTCAATGCATACTTTCGGTTATCTCAGACTGCATTTTGGGATCTGGTTTCATTTACTGAGCCTGGCTAATTTCATGTGCAGCCATTTAGCACTGCCAGTATGAGTTCCTGCTGCCCGTTCATTAGGGGCATGAAGTTCCACTGGTTTTTAAATCCACCAACATGACCATTTATCTTAAATTTTCTGTCAACAGAGGAATGAGGGAAAAATACTAAGGGAAAATATTTCCCACTGCTCTAGTTCTCATCTGGAAATGGAGAAGAGCATTTTGCTGATAGCAGGACTAGTTAAGTGAGAGAAGGATAGTGCTGCTTCATTTCGGATGGTCTTGGTGCAGGTTTCCAGATGCCAAATCCCTTCCCTGCTGACTCATGGCTCTCCTGCCATCCTTGTCCATTTGCCAGCAGCCCCATAGTGCAGCAGAAGCATATGGAATAATTTAGTGAGGTAAGTGAATGTGCAGTGAAGACCAATCTGAGAGCAGTTTCTTCTTCATCAGGAAAAAATGGTGTTGCAGGAAGGGAAATCACTGGGATTCCAGAGCTGGAGTTTCCATTCTCTGCCATGCTCTGCACTTCATATTTGACCTGTGTACCTGGTTTCTCAGTGTGTAAAATAGGAACAGGATATTTACAGTCTGTTTTGAAACTTTTCTGGTATTTGCAAGTTACCTTAATGTCTTTGGGCAGAAGGAAACACAAAGTTTTGCTCCTTCACTTGTAATCTAAAACTGCCTCCCTGGTGGTGATGCTTTAATGTCTGCATTGGTCTCACTGCACTTTTTTTTTCTTAATGGGAAACTTCTGCTTCTTCCCGGAGGGATGTTTAAGCCCTGTGTAGCAGAAAATGTTCCTAGAGGCAAGGTTGACTATGCAATAGCAATGAGTTGAATGCTAGATTCTCTAACAGATCTCCCATGCAACAAATACTTAAAAAACTAGAGCAAGCCCTGGATTAATTGAATTTCTTTTTAGATGCCTAACTAAGGTCCTCAGATTAGGAGTTCAGACAGCCTAGTGTCCTTTCTCATCGAGAAAGAGAAATAAGAACCTCCAAAGGAGAAATTTTAAGCCATTAGAAGTCAATGATTCAAAGCCAGGTTAGATGCTTGCAGTCAAGAAGGAACCAAATGGGCTATCATCCTCACCAGCAAAGAAACCTTTTCTTTAGGAGCTGCATTTCTCCATTTAGTTATCAGTCCCTTGAAAGATACAAAGTGCTGCTGATTCCAAAGTCTTCTGCTTTCAGAGGAACACTTCTTTTAAGTAGGTGTGTGTCTGTGCTTCAAAGAACTTGATTGTCTTGATATAAAAATAGTGTGACATCCAGCTTGACTAATAGAATAAAATTATAGGTTTAGTTCTTGGACAGATAATTCAGTATTATAATGTGAGGAGTATTTTTCCCTGAGTGCATGATCAGAAGCAAAATAAAAACAAGAAGTAGACTTCATGCTCTTTAATATTTATAAATGATTTTTAGTTCTTGCTTAGATTTCTAGATGTCATACATATTTAACATACAATGTGTCAGTATATCATAATTCTAAAGTGCATTCATTTGCATAGGGAACATGCACTTTATTTAATAAAACATATACTACTTGCGCAGCAGAAAGGAAAAGAAAACACTTTTCCAGATGAATAGACATCACACCAGTACTTACAGCCTCACGTGACTCACGCACCACTGTCTGCAAGATGGTGCACAATTAGCAGACTCAAACGTTTGGGAGCAGTGAATTCCCACATAAGAGCTCTGTGTGAGAACATTCAGCATCAGCCCCAAGGCCGGTAAACAAACTCAGCACTTGCCAAGATCGTTGAGGGGGGGAGGCACTTTTTCACATAATCCAAATTCAGGCTCTTCACAGCTTTAACATCCTGAACATCCTGTACGTGATTGCTGGGGAAGTTGACAAGAGGTGTAGCAGCATTTTGTCATGGTGGATGCCAGGGATGTCACGAGCAGGTCAGGCTTCCACTATCTCCCTGGCCTACAGGCAACAGTGATGACAAATTCTGAATGTGTGCTGGCACCTGGAAGGGAAAATGGGTGCTTTAGGCCTCTTGAAAAAGTGGCATGTAGGAACAACCTCCCTAGGCTGGGATGTGGTAGAGTCCTCATCACTGGAGGTTTTCAAGATGCTATTGGACAGGGTGCTAGGTGATCTCATCGAGGCTCACTTTCGCACGAAAGGTTGGACCAGATGATCTTTAAAGGCCCCTTCCAACCTGAGCTGTTTTATGATTCTATGTATTCAGGTCCTTACCTAGGAAGACATTAGTATTCCCTCTCTCTTGCCTACAGTTCATTGAAACATTCATATCCAACAGGCCATTATGAACTATTTGATGGGAGAGAAATGTAAGGAGTCTATGTGATCTTCACACTGAGGATGCCAAAATACAAGCATTTTCATGGCTTCCTTAGCAGCTTCACTTGAGTGGGAAGCAGGAGAGGGAAAACCCACAGAAGAAGTGTCCTGTAGTTGAAGACACCCTCCATCCTTGAAACATGCTCTGAAGAATTATTAACCTACTTCTCCAAGGAGGTTCAGCTGTGAGCTGTCTAATCCTCAGGGGCTATGTGGGTATGAGCACTGGTGAGAGGGCCTTGACCATTAAGATGAAGAGACCCAGCACGGTGTGTTCCACTTCAGTGCTGTAATCTGAAGGGAACTCCACCTGCAGGCTGCCTTTGCTTAACACGAGCAGCACAATGGTTGCCACACTGGCAAGATCAATGACTAGAGTCTTGCTTCTTCAAGAGAGGCTTTAACAGTTTCCATGAAAAAGGCACTTAAAGCTGCCTTCTTGACTTAATAAGCCCATAGGGCAAAAGTCCAACCCACAGGAAGTCTAAAATTTCTGAGGTTGTGAAATATGATGGTAAAACTGCTAAAATGAGTTGGTCACAAATACTTCTTTCCCGGCTTTTCCTAATCTCAGCAGCTGAGTGGGAACTTTTCAGTTTTAGTTCTGTCTGTAAATGTAAAAGCCCTCAGTGCTTCATGGAACAGTTGAGTTAAGCTGAACCCAGCCAGGCTGCTGGCTACCTGGCTGCTTCTTTTACTGGGAAAGCAAAGAGATATGTTTACCTTTTTACTGCTTTTAAATTAGAGTTTGCATCTCCATGCAGCATTTTTTCCTTCCTGCCTTACAGCTGCCATGCTATACTCTACTAAATCACTAGCTCATTATTTTCTTTTTCACTGTAAATCACCTTGAGATACTTTGAGAGACACTATATAAAACTAAATTGATTTGAAATGGCTCTTAAGGCAGTCTCCATATGCCATTATAGTTTATATTTGGACTCAGCTGCGTACTGAAAATGTTGCTGAATAGGATGTCTGATGTGTGTTGTTATCCCCATTAATATACTTCACGGAATATGAAGAACAGCAACAGCATTAGTTTTCTTATCCGAATTCCTGTTCAGTCTCCTCTCCTCCAGGAAATGCACAGAATAAAGGCCATGTTTGCAATTTCTTTCTTTGCTGCAAGCAGTTAGCTGGACACAGCAATAACCTCCTTACTCCAGTCTAAGGCTAGCAATGGGTATTTTGCTAAATGAAAATATGTCTTTGTTTTTATGAACAATTACGGGATAAGGAAGGGAGGGAAAAGTCCCGTGAAAGGAAAAGAGCAGTACCTGGCCTTCCACTTGTCTACTGGCTAAAATGTGCTCTTCTCGCAAATAATTTGTTTATGGAGAAGAAAACATCTATGTAATATGGGTGAGATGAAATTAAAATTATATATGCACCCTTCTGCTGGACAAAGCCACACAGATGAGTCCGGGCTCCTGTTCACAAACACCCTCTCTCAGCCCTGTGCATTGGCAAAGAGTAGTTTTCTTTCTGCGCACAGTTGCTTTAATCTTGATGCCAAGGATCTTTGCCTTCAGTTGCTGTCTCCTTGAGATTTCTTTCCCCCTTCCTATTTTCACAACCAAAATAAATGCAAACTTCAGCACTTGTATTTCTGAGTGAGTCATCTTCGCTGATCACTAAAGCCTTCCATCTCCCATAAGGAAAGTTTCATGTATCACTTTTTAATGATTCTGGCTGAATCCTGGAAGGGCAGGTCATACCATACTAAGAATTTGACTCAAGT